GTCGTCCAACAGTCCCCCTAAGAAGCTGCTCTCTCTATTTCTCCAGTTTAGATTTTTTTTTTTTTTTTTTTCAAAGCATTGTAATAGTATTGCAAAATAGGACGAGGCCGGGCACCTCACAATTCCACCCGGAGTTATCCTGGCAGCCTTAGCCAGTTTCGCTTACGAGCATAACAGACGAACCACCAGTTGCTGAAATTTCTCAGTCTGCTGCTGGAAAACGGGTTCAGCGTCTCTTCTCAAAACCTTACCATCTCAAAACCCTAAACCAAAATCATCTTGAAGATCCAAAGGAGGGAAAATCCTGAGGTAGCTCTGAACAAATATGTAATCTGCAGACTAAGACCTTCAGAACTACTACTCAATCTGAATTGTACCTGCAATTCACTTTCCCCTCTACTACCAAGTCTCTTGTAGAACTTCCGAAGACTGTCCAAAAGAATTATGAAAGGTGGCTGAACGAGTACTCCACGCCGTCACGAACCTGTCAGCCTATAGTAGTTTGTGATTCGATCTCCAAAACAACCAGCTCTCTGAAACTGAAGGTACAACAGCTTGCCGAGCCCAAAAATCCTCCCAGTCGCACGCAAACGTTTAGCAAAATTTTAAAGCAGTTTTTCTTACCATTTAGGTTTTGTCTTAGATTGATGTCCATGGCTGAGGGGGGGGGGGGGGGGGGGGGGGGGGGGGGGGGGGGGGGAGGGAGAGCTGCCTGAGATTCAGTGTTCGAGACCTGTTGGCCCCTGATCGATGAACTCGATTGACGCTCCATTTGTTCTACGTTTTGCTTTGGGCGCGTGATAAAATAAAAGCCGTGTAGTTCTTATCTAGGCTACCAGCTGGGCCACCCGGGTCGCCCTATTTCCCCGGGCGGACCGGCCGTGCAAGCACCAGGGAAGGTCCCAGGCAAAAAAAAAAAAACCGAAAAAAAACTATGTTATGCAGAGAAATATATTGCCTAAAATGTTTGACGATATATGAGTCGGTGAAACTCCGACGAAACAGTTTGTCACAGCCCCTCGTTTGTTGTCCTCTTCTCTCTCTCTGCCTACGGTTTTACCGGGCAGTTCTGTTTGTGACGATATATATATATATACTGTCTTACAAAATTTAAAATATAAAGTATTAAAAACTAAAATTAAAAAATCATTTTTATTTTATTATTTTATTATTTATTTTTGGCCCGGCCGGGCAAGTGGACCCGGAGCATGGTCCCATTAGCAAAGAGGATTGGATTGAACACCTGAATCTGGACTTGTTTGTGGCGAGGTGCAGAATGTGGAGATTGAACTGCTTTTCCGCATCTCTGGGTCAAACACGTCCCCAACCCTCTTTGCTAGTAGGACCTCACCCCCGGGCCCACTCTGGTAAGCTAGGTTTTTATCCGTTTTTAGGCCAAAACCCCCCCCTCATTCTTCTAGTCCTCCCTCCATGCGTTCCATATCTCCTTTGTCTTTTTTTTTTCTTTTTTTTTTTCCCCTCCTTATCTCCGTCGTGCAGCTTCCGCGATACCGACAGGAAAGAGGTCGGGATCCCATTTGTTCCCAGACAGGCTGTGGACAGTCACGGCATGGACAATATTGTTTTTCCTATTTTCCCATTGTTTAAAGAAAAAAAAGTGGCGGAGTTTTTCTTCGAATGGAATCAAATCCTCATCGAGTCCCAAAGAAATAAAAAAAAAAAAAATCCTCATCGAGTTTCAAAAAAAAAAAAAAAAAAAAAAAAAAAGTTTAGGTGGGGTTCATGCACATGGCATGCAGACACTTCTGCCCTTTTTTTCCAATTATTTGGGAATGTCCGATACACGTGGCATGAGTATACTTCCGTGAATGTTCACTTGGGGCCGCCCCGTAGTTGAGGTTGTGTCCCGACGGCAACTGTCACCAACTGTGAAAAGGACAAAAACTGTGGCGATGAATCTTTCCATGTTCTAGCGAAACGTTCATTTTCATTTTGCACATTTGGTGCCACATCACATCATGGACTGCTGCACCACGCAGCAAATGTGAAAAAGACAAAAATTACATTCAATGAATCTTTCCACATTCTAGTGCCACTGTGGCAGTCAGTACATGCTCCATTGCCTACATTTGGTAAGCAGGGGCGAGGTCCCACTAGCAAATAGGATTGGATTGAAGGCCCTAATTTGGCCGCATTTGTGGACAAGTGCAGAACATAGAGACTGAACTCCTTTCCTGCATCTCTGCCTAAAACACGCCCAGATTCAGGATCTTAATCCAATCCCGGTTGCTAGTGGGACCATGCTCCAGTGCTAGGAAGCTCTATGGGCCTCGCCACACCACTGTCGAAACGAAAAACGTTCAAATGCATGTTCCCACAGAAAATGGCAAGATGCGTCGGTTCCTATGAATAGCAACAGATGCATCTGAAGGCTTTTGGGGAAGATGCATTAGTGCTTTTTTCGTTTCCACACTGGTGTGGCGAGGCCCTATGAGTGCAGCCTCGTCATTTCAACTGTAATGAAGGGCCTCGCCACACCACACCACTGTAGAATCGGAGAAAGTTAGACAGCCAAATGTAGGACATGGAGCATGTACTTGCACTAGAAAGTGGAATGGCAAAATTTCTTTGCGTGAGGATGCACTCTTTCTTTTTTGGCCCCATGCAAATGTAGGACATGGAGCATGTACTGCCCCTGGCACTAAAATGTGCAAACTTAAGTCGAAAGGCAAAAAAATTCGACTGCTGTCAGAACAAATTCTCTGACAGCCTCCATTCGACAGTTTGGGCCTCGCCACACCACTGTAGAATAGGAAGAAGTACGAGTGCATGTTGGCGCGGAGGGTGACCAGATGCATCCGCTACTATAAATAGCAACGGATGCATCTTGCCACTTTCTGAGGAACCAGATGCATCCCCTACTATAAATAGCAACGGATGCATCTTGCCACTTTCTGAGGAACCAGATGCATCCCCTACTATAA